TGTTAACAGTATCCATTTCCTCAGCTGCTTAAGCAGGCCTAATAATGTTCCTTTTTTGGTCCTCTGTCCCATTGGTGTGTTATGTTATAGGTAAATCCGTCATACACACTTGACCAGGTTTCTCTTGCCATCCCTCATTCTTCAAGGTTCTTTTCTTCCTCTACTTCTTTTTCCTTCCTTCACCGAGTCTACCCCTAACCATTCCTCTCTTCTTCCTTTCGAACGCAGGGATTGAAGGACTCAATTTCAAAACCGTGCACGTCTCAGTGACTCAAATGAGGGGCTTGTTCCACTGCCACACTTCCGTTCACAAATGCTTCAGCTTGGGGAGGAGGGGGGAAAAAATCCCTGTTAATCTACTGAATCTGGTTCATTCTACCATTTCCCCCCCTCCTTTTATTCACACTCGCTGAGTTCTTTTCTACACTGAGCTTTTGGAACTCCATATAAAAAGGAAGAAAAAATGACATAAGCTAATTTTAGGTAGCAAAGTTGCAGATTTTGTTTTGATAGTACGATGTTTTATTTTTATCGTTTAGTTGTCTTTTTAGACTCACTCCTAACTTGTATTAACATAGTTTGTAAAGTATTTTAAATCTGATAAATCAACACTGGACTCATGCTGTTACATTTAGCAGGCATTTTATAGCTCTCATTGCACTGATAAAAAACTGTAAAATAATGCCTCTTTTTTATAAATTCAAAACCAGCTGAAATGTTAGGTGTTATTATAGTCATCTGTGTTATATGGTGTCAATTTTTTTTTAGTTCCCAACTATTTAAAGATTAGACTTCTAATCTAGTCCTCTTGAGCCATATYATGTTAAGCTTGCTATAATCCAGGTGTCTGCTTTTCTGAGTGGGCATTCTTTGCACTCTCTCTGCCCAGAGGTGTTACAGAGGAGAGGGGGATGGGGGGTGGGGTTTTTGTTGATCTGTGTTTAATCAAAGTAACCATGCACAGAGCTGGTTTGGCTATTAGCTCAGCAAGAGCCTGTAATCACTACAAGTTGTTTCCCTTATTCCATGAACCTTATTATCGAATAAATGGTGTGTGTGAGGAGGAACAGAGCATGTGTGTGTCTGCCATTTTCTTTTTCCATTGTTTTATTTCCCTCTGCTAGACTGCARGTTGGAAAGTATTGATTTGCTAGCTTGAAAATAACAAACCGACAACTGTGCAATTCGGGTAGTAAACAGACTCAGAAAAAGTGTGTAAAAAGCACCCATGAGACATGGGCCCTGAAGTAATTATTAGTTTCTGTTTATGCTCAGTCAGTAAAATTTTGGTTGCTTTTATTGTTGTGTAGTACAACCCTTAACTTTTTTTTTTTCAAAAAATAGAGTACTTGAATTGTAAATGAGGAGGAAATTACATGGTGGTATAATACTGCACTATACAGCGCAAATTTAGCTGAACGGTTTTGAGTTGTCAGTTTTAAAAATATTAAAAATCTGGAGAATAAAAACAAAATTTTATAGCACACTCATGGTGGCTGATGACCACAATCTCTGACAGCTGTCAGCAGCTATGGCTAATCTACCGGTGCCTTCCTTATAACTTTTTTTTCATTGCATATTTTGCAATAGTACTTCACACACAGACTTGTTGATCATCAACATAAGTAGGGCCGGCACTGAAAGATTTCACTGACCACTCTGTTAATGACAGCCACCATCATGGTGGATGGGGGGAAAAGGACACAGCCTGTCACTTTGATTCACGCACCAGCAGCTCCAACTGAGTGGCTTCTTGCCAATGTCTCAARAGTCGTTATATCCCCACTAAATGACATTTAAAGTGTGAAGCAATGGTTGTCCTTGTGGCTCAGTCACCCCAGGCTGAGCCCAGCTTTGAGTGCTGAACCCGGAGCCAAGTTTTGCAGCGAGGTCAAAAACTCTGAAGCAAAACCCCCTGCCTTGGATGCTGTAACACTATTCACTGCCCTGGTTGAAAATGCAGAAAGTAACCTTGAAGACATTTTTAATTTTCTGATGTAGGCTGTTCCCTTTTTATCCTTCTGTGTTTTACCGGTACTTGTTTCTTTTGTCAATTATTGATTTCGTGTTTTTTTTCATGCATTTATTCTTATCTATTTGTATATCCCCTACAGACATTCGTGTTTCTCATTTGATTTTACCTTTTTAATTAAAATAATGTTTTTTTCACCTGCTTCTGCTATTACATTGCTGTAAAATAGAATATTTAAACACTCTTAGTTTGAACAAATGCAATATAAACCTAAGAAACTGTTTTTATTTAATAATAAACAATGTTAAATAAGTGTTAACCATGCAATGAATCAATAGTTGGTCATTTAAACAAAGTTGTCAAGTAACACAGTACAAATATTGTTATGTTATGTTATTGTTATGTTGTCTTAAGTAGGTTATCACACTTGAACATGACACAAATCATGCCGCACACCAGCAGGACAAAGCAGACATATATGTACAGTATACTAGGTTGCATTAATGTAACCTAGTATGAAGATACCCGTGGCAGTGATACATGCAGCTGTAACAGTGCAGGCTTCCCAACATTTTGGGTCTGGGGACCTTTTACAGGGGAGACAGATTTCCAGGGACCATCAAAAACCTCATGCTGAATAAAAAATAATTAGTTAATAGGTGGGGTTGTGCATTTTAGGASCCTATGCAAATCCTAAGCTTTTGTCCTTACATTACTTTTATACTTTAAGTAGTTTTAAAACAGTACTTTTACACTTTWATTTGAGTAAAAAGCTTGAGTTGATAATTCTACTACTAAAATAGGTATTTTAATCCCTAGTATCTATAATTCTACTTAGGTAATGAATGTGAATGTAAAAACTTTTAACACATTTGAGCTTAAAAACTTTTTGGCTTTTTGTTCAGACACATATTCTGGGGATAAGCTATACAAATAAGCCTGAGCTACTGTATGTATATCTTTACCTCTCCGGTCTATATGTATTTTGTGGACGTAAAGAAAGCATATGACTGTGTTCCACAAGACATTCTGTGGGGGGTGCTGCAGGAATATGGAATGTCTGGGTTGCTATTAGAAGTTGACCCAGTTCCTGTCTAACCAAAGCAGGAGCTGTGTTTGCATTCTTAGCACAAAGCTGAGCTCATTCTCAGTGCGAGTTGGACTCTGCCAGGGCTTCCCCTCATCTCCGAAACTGTTTTTAGTGTTTATGAACAGGATCTCCAGGCACAATCCTGGAGAAGAGGATGTCTGGTTTGGGAACCACAGTCTCATCTCTGCTTTATGCTGATGATGTGYTTCTGCTGGCGTCTTCAGGCCAAGAACTGCAGCGTGTACTTGGGCGGTTCGCAGCAGCCTGTGAAGAAGCTGAGATGAAAGTCAGMTCCTCTAAGTCAAAGGCTATGGTTCTCAACCAGAAAACAGTGGAATGCTTCCTCCAGGCCCGTGGAGAATCTAAAATGAATTTAAGTATTTGGGTGGCTTGCTCATGAGTGATGGTACGTAGGATGGAGCAGGAGATGGATCATCCTATTGGGGCCTCCTCCTCAATAATGAAGGCCTTATTTAAGTTGGTCATGGCGAAGAAAGAGCTGAGTCAAAAGGCAAAGCTTTTGACTTATTGTTCTGTCTACGTTCTAACCCTCACCTATGGTCATGAAGCATAGATCATYACCGAAAGAGCATCTGAGATGAGCTTCCTTCGTAGGGTGGCCGGGCTCACTCTGAGAGATAGGAAGAGGAATTCTGTCATCCGTGGGGAGGTTGGAGCTGCTCCTCCACATGAAAAGGAGTCAGATGAGGTGGTTTGGGCATCTGATTAGGATGCCTCCTGGATGCTTCACTTTAGAGATCTCTCTCTAGTGAGATTATGTATCCTGTCTCCCTCCTGGGAACACCCCTGGGTCCCACAGGGAGAATATATATATATATAT